GGGAAGAGGATACAGTGCATTTGTTTGAAGTAGTTTGCTATTAGAGTATTAAGAAAAATTATTTTGCTTTGTGTAAAGTGAGATTTGCGGATTGTTTCTTGTAGGTGGAATTGTTTGTGACCAGCATTGTTTGTTTAGTATTGTTGGAAATAATTCTGATTAGGGAGTGTTGTGCTGGAGTCTTTACGCTTGGAGGGTGATTAATGAATGAGATGAGATTGTTGTTTTTAGGCAACATTCAGTTGGATTGGGTCAATACTAGAGTTGGGAAAGGCTGATATTATAATTAGAGGTATTTATCTTTATTACCATTACATAGTTATTTGGGAATAGTTTGAGAGAGTCAGTATTCTTGAGTCTGATTTCATTGCCGTTGTTCATAGTATATGTCTCGAGTTGTTCTGGAGGTGTGTGTGATTGGTTGGTGAGGATTATATCTTAGGTCAGTTGTTTATTGTAGATAAGGGGTTTTTTTCATATGTCTTGTGATACACGTCGGTCAACGCTTTGGGTACTGGAAGCTATTTTATATATTGTTAATGAGAAACGTTGATATAGTGGGGAACTTGCGACGATTCGCCGTTCTATAGGAGGAGAGTAGGCAGTACGTTTCGTGGTGAGCTTCTATTTTACATTACGTTCACTTTGTATTGGTAAGTTCATTAGTAAAATCAAGAACCATAGAATATTTTTGGACAGGATTGTCTTGGCATCGATCAGCAACTTACGCTATCGGTGCCTTCTACATGAGAGCGTCTGTTTTATGGCTTTAGGGTGGTGAGTCAGCACGGGGTTATATCATATATTTATAATTGTTATTTTTGTTTATTAGGAGCACTAAACTGTGGATACCATATTCTATAGTTATATGGTGAGGTTTACCACACGATTACTGACCCTCAAGTTTGACTAATGCAACAAGAAAGGACATTGGAGGAGTGGAGTGGAACAATGCATCCACTTATATTTCTGTATTACTAGTACATGATTCGTTTTGAATTTTATATATTCATATGTTATGCATTATTTAATTGCAGGTGAGGCATATTTTGTTATTATACATATCACTAACATATATAGCGATTATTACTATTTATCCCTTGCCTTTGGCTGTTCTATCATTTATGTTACTAATTTTAATGAATTCTGAGGGTAAGAGCTGGGACTACGACAGTCGATTAGGCTTTGAGTGAAGCGAATAGATATAATGGAAAGGCAGACCTTCCAGCGCATGAACATGAGAGGCACTGGATATAATATCTTATCTTTTTATATACTCCTCTTCACCTCCTATATCTTTAAAGAAAAAAACTCAAACTTAATAACTTTTTTCAAAAAATCTACTACCAATTTACCGTAGGGAAATTAAATTGTGAGGAAACCTTAGAAGTGATAGGTTTTAGGTTTCAGAGATTGAGAGGATGATAGGAGATTTGGATGCTTGGACAAGTGGATTTTATTTTACTTTTCATAAGAATTTACTGATTTTTTTTTTTTTTGATAGATGTTATAGAGTTGGTGTTTAGGATTGCTCTCCTCTGGGATATATTTAACTAGAGAGAGTAAGGGCAGGGAGAGTATCTAAGGGAGAGAGGAGAGGAGTGGAGTGTAAGAGAGAGATGCGCTTAGATGGCAATTGTAATGGGAAAGTTAAAATAATATTCACCCTGTGGTCCAGTGGGAGAGAGCAGAGGGGACGGGACGGTATAGGAGGGAATATCTCACTACTGCAATATGATCACTCTTTTGCGAGATCTCTGATCGTACTATTATGTTGTATAAGAAGGCAACACGCCTAATTTTGTATTTGATTTGTACAAATCTATTCTAATATGATTTGTTTGTACCATCAATATTCTATTAAGAACCAATTTGTGGTGTACTTCGTTCCATTATCCAGAGGCTTATATCCATACATGTGGATAAGATATGTTTAGATTTTTCCGAGACATGATAAGAGAGATATTACGTTAAGTTTTTTATTTGTTAGTTATGATACTATTGATACTTATACTATTGCATCATCTATTATGCGTTTCTAATGCATAGGTATTTAATTATTTTTGTTCTATGGATAGTGAAGCAGGTTTATTTATATGTCTATGTATGTGGAAATCTTTAAGCGGTGGTCTGAATTCATTTTAGATTGATATTGATTGGTAGTTATTATAGTATGGTTCACATTCAGGCGGCGAGATGAGTATTGAGGCGAGTCGATAGTCGTGATTATTATCACGAATAGATATTCTGTGGTACTATTATAGAATGACATATTATTACAAGAGTGAGCACGATCAGTATTGTTTATATCATAGAGTATTTTTTTCAGTCTTTTTTTGAAGCGACGGAATGATAGCTTTTTGGGTCATGGATGGACGCATTTTAATGATTTTTGTCATTTTTGAGTAGTGGGATGGATTTAGCGGATTTTTTTGGTTGATTCTGATTATCGTTATTTATCGTGGATCTTTTCGTTGAACTATTTAATAATTTTATTTTTTGTAGATGATTTTGACGATGACATGAAAGGTGAGTAGGATCAGGATAGGAGATCGGCAGGTGCTTTGATGGATGACAATCATATTTGTACACATTGCATTGTCAGATTTTTTTGTTTGACATCATATAGATGCCGCTCCTTTGGATATAGAGAGTATCTAGGACTTGTTATAACTCCTTTGGAGGTTATGAGGAAGACGTGTGTATGGCTTGAGGAGAGCAGATAGTTATGTGAAATCTAACAGTTTGCGACAGGTATTTCTTGTTGGAGTGACTTGGGGAGGGAGAGATTAGTGCGGCGATCACTGTCGCACTTTTTTAGTGTCGTGTTTTTCGTAGGTCACTACATGGTGTCTTGACGAGTGTGGTCATTTGACGAGAGGCTGGATTTAGTTAAGTCTCTAGTGTTGTCGTGTGAGGAGCAAGGTAGTGTTGGATTGCTAGAGAGAATCGTCGAGGTGAGGTGGGGGCACTTGCGGATTGCAGATAGCAGGCATGTTTACAGCTTGATGGTACTTTGATATTCATTTTTCTTCTTTTTGGGTATTTGATGTATGTAGTGTGTCTAGTTTTTTATATTTTGATTATACAGTATGATATTTTTAGGTATGACATCATTTGGGATAAGACGTTGCGAGGATTATTATCATGTTTATTAAATTTGTTTGGTATTTATGATTGGATCCATTTATTTTTATTCATGAATAATTCATCATTGTTATAGATATCAAACATGTGTTTATTTTTTTATTTGTCTTATGTAAACTATTCTTATAGTATGGAAGGTTTATCGAAAATGTTAAGTGTTGGAGACATTTAAAGTGAAATTGAATTGTTGAATAAAAATTTGATGGAATAGATTTGTTAAGAGATCGACATTTCGTGGTTACCATAGAGTGTGGAATAAGATGTCGGGATATGGTGTTGTGGATTTGGAATAGGAAGAAAATTGCCAAAAATGTATAAATTACACTATTTAGAAAGTTAAAAGAAGTAAGCTGTATCTGATAATTATCAAGTGAAACAGCGACAGATCGATTCCAATGGCCTAATGGTCAATGAATAAAAAAGAAATTCTTCTCATATTTGAAGGAGAGTAATGTATAGATCTGTGTTAGTGAGAGGACTAAGAGATGAAGAGTATAAGTAGAGAAGTCGCTTCTTGTTCTGTGAGTGATATGTAGAATCATTTGGACAATTAGATCAGCATAAAGTGAAGATCGTGGTTCTCTCCGACGTGAAGTAAGATAACTTATAAAAGGGTGAAAGGTTGTAAGACACAAGTTAAAAGGTGACAAGTTGGAATTTGTATTAAATGGTATTAGAGCTTTTCAGTTGGATTTTCGCAGTATATTAGTGGTTAGTGGAATATTAAAAAGGTTTATCGCGCGAATTCAATTAGCTCTAAGTTTGGTTTCTTTTTCAGGGAACCGTATAGATTTTGGGAAGTGCCATTGGAGTAAAGTGATCTATGGTGAAATATGTTAATAAGAATACTATGAAGTTTCTTTATAAGATGATGATGAATATCTGACATTTGTGCTTGTCTTTATTGGAAGGACAAACGTAATTTGTTAAATAGATGGATGTGATTCCTATACAATTGTTGTATTAAAATTATTTGATAGATGTGTGACAATTGATGATGAAACGTGCAAATGCATAATGATGTGATGGAAGAAGAAATTGTTCTTACAGGGTAGTTTCCCCGACCGCACGATTTCCCTCCTTGAATGGACACGCAAAATCATTTTACTCCTCATGGTTACCCCGGTGAGCGGGAACCGTTCTGTGATATCTGTTTGCGTAGATTCTTATTTGCTATATTAACTATGGTGCAAGCTGGGCGTCCACGGTGGCACACACGACTGTAGCGTTAAAGCCCATCATAGAGCGAATATGAGCCCTCCATTCAACATATACGCATACCGATAGACCAGAATACAGTGGCAGACTAAAGATTCTGACTCGGAAGGGCTATTTCTCGAAGAGCGGCATGGTACCGGCGTTCGAATTGTGGTTAGCCCTGCGGTTACAACGATGATGTATGCGCAGCATATAAAAATACGCCCCTGATCGTATCTCACATCAGGACGGCACGCGCCGAAAAAGAAACAACCTACAGGGTGCACTGGCGTGCACTCCACCATCATCCTCAAGGACTCGATAATATATCGATAGCGCACCCTGAATAGATGGACAACTCGCTGTACTTGGTTGGACTCTTCGGGCAATAGATACCGTTAAAGATGATCTTAATCAGATCTGTCGCTAAATGAGTGAGAAAAGGGCTGGTGTACGTGCAGTCTTCTCCACGATTTAACAGAGCACCCTAGGCAAAGGGCGCTGTAGGTCAAGGCCAAGAGAAGCGAACATCGCTCATCATAAGAAGGTAGGATACCTGTGTTTGCACGGATGGTTTAATAATGCAGCAGATATATTAAATGTATGAGGGGCCATTGAATCAGAGCTTGACGTGTGATTATGGCGCATAAGATCTTTCGGAGTACTGAGGGAAAAGAAGGTGAAACATGTTTTAGTCTATATATGTATTTCTTCTTGTGAAAATTATCCATATTAATGTTTTTTTTTTTTTTTCTGTTAGGGTACACAAACAATTCAAGGTCTTGCCCTGGATATGCGTATGCATCTTCCAAATAGACCAATAAACACAAATGAGACAGTTTTGGAAACCAATGCATTTGAAAGGATGTGCAATTTACAACTACTCAATCTTAGTCATGTACGACTGGATGGATGTTATGCAAATTTCCCTACAAGATTAAGATGGTTGTGTTGGCTTGAATTTCCATTGGATTCTATACCTGTTGATCTTCCTTTGGAGTGTCTAATTGTTCTTGAAATGCAACATAGTAGCTTAAGACAAGTCTGGAAAGGAACAAAAGTATGTTACTCTACGCATTTCAATTCAGTTTTTTTATTTTTTGACCAATTGCATATGTTAAAATTAACTCTCCCACATTTTTTTTCTTTGTTTGTTTTTATTTTAACACAGTTTCTTCCATCGTTGAAGATCCTTGACGTCAGCCATTCCCATGCTCTCATTGAAATCATGGACTTCTCACTATGCCCCAATCTAGAAGAATTGATTCTTGTTGATTGCACCAGCCTGATTGATGTTCATGAATCCATTGGAAACCTGGAGAGACTCGTGTACTTGAATGTGAAGGATTGCAAGAATCTTAAGTTGCTTCCGAAGAACATGTGTTTGCTTAATTCACTTGAAACACTCATTTTATCTGGTTGCTCAAATCTTGATGAGTTTCCAGTGGAGATGATGAAGATGGAGTCTCTGAAAGTTCTTGAAATAGATGGAATTCCAATAGGTGAATTATGGCCAAAAAGAAGTTCAACTATCTTGAGTTCTTTTCCATGCTCCTTAGTAAAGTTGATTCTCAGTAGGTGCAATCTTTCTGAAGATGCCTTTCCTACGGATTTAAGTAATCTATCTTCATTGCGAAAACTAAAGATAGATGAGAATCCAATTTGCAGTCTGCCAGGTTTCATCAAAGGTTTGAGGAGGCTTGATAAACTCTCTTTTTGTAATTGTAAGAAGCTCGAATCGCTTGTGGGGTTGCCGAGAGTACACACAAAAAGATGTATGTAACCGATTGCATATCATTGAAAAAAGTAACATATCAATCGTTTGAGGGGCTCCAACTAGAGGCCTTTGTGAGAAACAACAAAAACACAGTTGAGTGGGAGTACCTTTTCAAGTTAGAGTCTATTGATAGAGTTGATGTGGAGATGATCAAACTTTTGGGCTTGTGCAACTTGGGATCCATGCCACCCATTACAATGAACGCATTTCCATTCTCAAGCTATGGTTCAAAAGTGAGTCCTATCCAGGTGCGCCTCTCTCTCTCTCTCTCACTCACTCTCTCATAAGTCATATATATATAATGGGAAATAAATGACTTAGTAATGTTGTGATGATCATGGAAAATGCATAGGGACTGTATGAATGTGGTATATTCAGCACAAGTTTTGTTGGGAATGAGGTTCCAGGCCGGTTCAGCTATAAAAGTACCAAGTCCTCCATATCTTTTAGTGTCCCTTTACTCCCTTCTAGTCACACAATCCGAGGCTTGAACATCTTTGCTACCTATGCAAACAAGGAGAATTCTAAATATAATGATGATGGTAGTTATAAACGTCCAATGATAATCAAAGTGAGTAACAAGAGCAAGGGTCTGAAGTGGATCTATTGGCCATTATACTTTGGTATCCCAGGTGACGGAGAAGATATGATATGGTTGAGTCATTGGAAGATGGAGAACGAAACAATATTACAATGTGGAGATCAAGTGGTGGTTTCAGTAGTGGCCGCACCATATGAGTTGTTTCGGATAAAGGAGTTTGGTGTCGAGCTTATGCAAGAGCACCAGAATAATATGATGATAAGTACCCAACACAACACCAAATCAGATCCTAATTATCCATGTGTCATCGGTGGAGATTTGATTTGTCCATGTGGGAGCATATACCCGGAACATACTTACTTGGTATCCGTAAAGAATCATTTGAAGATGCTGATGACCATGAGCAGAGAGATGGTTGAATCGCCTCATCATGGACAATAATGAAGAAGACACAGGTATGCTGTGATGTTGTATTGCATGAATTATACTTCATCCAAACACTTCCAAGTCCGTCTCTGTTCAATTCAAAAACATAAATTTAATGTTATTTGTATGTTCTTCAGACAAAGAAGAAGGCCAAGAGGATGAACCTGATTACACAATTGGAAGGACGAGGGATGCCAGTAACAATTGCGGCCTCAGAGGCTGGAAGGTGCTCATCACAGCTGCCGGCTTATTTTTCTCGCTTGCTCTAGTAGTTCGGTCCTCCATCTCCCGGAAAAAGAAGCGACAGTAGTCCACATGCCATCCATGAGTTTGTAATTTTACTTGATACAGACATCTTTGGATTCCCTCCTTGTTTTCAATATGTTTTCTTCCTTCAAAATATCGAAGTTCAGATGTGTTCAACATCATCAAATACTGCATAAAGATAGCATAAAATACATCCAACATTAACGATATTTAAGAATTTTTCTTCCCTGCCACTGATTGCATACAATCCCGTATCAGAGAAGAAAAACAGATGGTTGTATACTAGCAGTAAATAATTAAAAAAAAATATGATTCTAAACAAACAAGGGAAGGACATTGACATAGGTATCTTTAGCAATACCAGGCAAAAATCAATTCTTTGAACTAGGGGAAAATATTTTCGCACCGAGGAAAGCAAAAACATCCTATCTGCTTATAAATGTCAAATTTAAATAGTAATTGTCATTTACAACAAAATCATGCTTCTTAAAGACTCGGCTCCGATTGAAAAATTGTGTAAATTACATAAGTATCAGTTACAACAGATATTAGATTGACTAATATATCAAATAAATTAACAGCATACAACTTCTTAGCCTGAGATCTAAGGACTATACAGCTGACTTGCATTGCTACTACACTACAAAAGTTGGTTTCTGCTGCTTCAACTCGAACAAATTATTGAGGTCGGGAAGCATAAGAGAAACGGCCATGGTCTCTGGAGCCATGAAATTTACTATCTTCTCATAAACATTTTACCTGCAAAAGCATAATGCAATAAGCCTTCAACAATCTTATAAGCTGAGACGATACAGTGCCATTGACTTGAGTGGCTGCAGATACAGATTGTTTGAATGAAACTCTCCTTATGACTCAGACTTAGTTACTTAAAGTTGGTTAGATGAGTCCAAATTGTTTGAAAATCATGTTCATCAACTCCACATATCCAAAGCAGCAAATTAACGATGATACCGGACATCACTTAGGACGATACAATCCTTAACAATTTCCAAAAGCCACAGTTTTTATATGCAATCTGATTACATGTGTTTTGAACGACAGGAAATCTTATAGATTCAGTAACCCGTTTATCAAATTCAAATGCAATCATTCATATATGAAGTATGAGATGCCCAATAGTTTTACTAAAGCCAATTTTTTCGCTAAATCAGGCTGAGGTTTATATGAGATCAAGCAGGAAAGATTTGAGCCGACATCCTAGGGCAATTTGAAATCTGGCTTCATCTTGGCTTATGCTCAGATCAACAAAACAAGGCCCAACTGATTTACCTTCCATGTCAACATTATGCTTTTGACAACTGCAACAAATACTTACCTCTAGAGTGTGATTTAATTGATGTTTCTGTAATCAAAATCCCAAGGTGTCTTATGTTTGTCGAAAATAACTGTATTTCTGACCAATTAGACTACTTTGAACTTCCCACCTCTTACACTCTTAATGATAACTTAGTACCAGCACACAATCTGACTAATTATAGCTACCGTTGTAGTGGAACTTCTGAAATTTGGGGAACCCTCACAATCATATGAAAACTTAAGCATTTCCTTAAAGTTTGATTTGACAAAATTGAACTCTCTCTTAACTAATAGTATAGTTATAAGCCAAACACACTTTATGAGAATGTAAACGGTTATTAAAAATTTCAAACACAAAATGTAAATCACCAAGATAGTTGCAAACCTTTCACATATTGGCAATTCTTATCAAGCCGAAAATGATAGATTATGCACAAGAACGGAAAGCCAAATTGTATTACAAGATAAATATAATAGTTTGATAAATGTACTTTGCACATACTATGTGTTGCTTGAACAATGGACGGGTTCTTCTCAAGTAAAGCTGCAACAAGAAAAAATAGCCCGATGTGATTAATGTTAGCATATACAAATGGCAATATTAACAAATCATAACAATGTATAAAGCACTTATCATATTACAACAAGGTATGAAGCTAAACCGCAAACCAAGTAGTACGAGGTAGACAAAAAAACCTTTTGACAGCCATACTTCTTGTAGTTCCGCTAGTTAGTCCAAAGTTCTCTTGATGAGTCCACTAGATCAGAATACGCTGCACTGACACCCTCATGTGAATCGCAAAAAAAGAAGCTTTAAACAAGGAGCAATAATTTCATATTGACAAACAAAACCTATTTCATGGATATTACAAGAGCTATTATTTTGAACAACACACCTTTTGGTTATTCACTGCTTGACCTTTAAGAAGATCTTCGTCCTTATGACCCCTTAGATTCTTTAAAATATATTTGCATGGGAACAGGGAATAAACGAAGAACAAAATTAACTTCATATTTCAGCCTATATAGCTCCATTTTGTGCTTTCGTAGCAACTAAATTAAATATATACTGAAAATTAGCCTTGAGCTAAGATGAAAATGGCACTAGTAATAGTATTCAATTCCTATATAGCTACACTCGCGGACTATTTACATTATTCAATGACTTCTGTAACCTAATATCAAATTTCGTCACCAACCTCCAACTGCTATGCATATTATCTCTTATATTCACATTATTTAGCTCTATGTCTTCATTCTAATTAAGCATCACACGTTTATAATTAAAAATAAAAGGACTGTGAATGTAAGTCTCTTACTGCTCCTGGTGACGAAGATTCATGTATTCTTTCTCGAGTTCTTCCATCTCGGCGCCTTTATTATCGTTTTGCCCATCACCATTTTCCTCTTCCCCAACTTCTCCTCCATCTTCTTCCTAATTTTCTGATTCTTCTTCCTCCTCCTCGCCATCGTGCTCATCATCAAATTCATCCTCTTCCTGCTTCATCTACATCACAAATCATCAATTAACAATAAAATAACCAAAACAAAACCGAATGATTACCAAAACCCAATAACAGAATTTACAAAATCAAACTAACATTCAGCTCATTGCTGTTGAATCACCATCGTCCTCGAACTCACTGTTACTTTCACGAGCCTTCCTCTCCATTGTGACGTCTGAGCCCCTACAAATTCAAACACCCACATATTTACAGAATTTAATAACACAAGGATTTAAGCTTTGATGGTACATACAACTTCATTTCAAATATCCAAACCAATTTATGAATCTCAGATTCTAAAATTGATGATTTTTCCTTGTTTTCTTTCAAGCGAAACAAATTAAATATACATATATATATATATATATATAATATATTATTTATATATAGAGAGACCCTTGAGAGAGGCACAGACAAGCCTCAGAAGAAGCTGCAGAGTTTGGGTTTTGGGGGTTTAAGCTAGGGATGACAATTCAAAACGTTAAATCCAACAACCGTGGACAACTGTCCGAACGAACGGACTTGGGTATGAAATTTTGGGTAACTCCATAAAGTGCTATGCTTCGACTAGCTCGAGAGGGTCGAAGAAGAACAAATCACGCGGATCGGAGGCACTCGAATATTTTGGATATGAAAAAAACCATGAATATTATTCAGTTATGGTTTT